CAGATAATTACTTCCCCTTTTTTCTTGTGGTGTTTGAAATTGAAAGTAAAAAGCTACACAAGGTCTGAAATACTTCCACTTTGCATAAGCGTACCACAAAGAAGCCACAAAAGACACACAAGGACAGGAAACTGAATGAACAGTCTGAGTAACTATAACCTAACAATCTGAGATTGCAGRAAAAAATATCTATAGCAGAGCAGCCCTAAAATTAGAGGAAACTACAAATAAAGCTTTAAAAATTATGTATAAAAATATATTTTCAAATCAACAGGCAGACCCTTATAACCCACTTCTCAAATATGACAGTTAATATTCATTTACATCTTGAGCTCAAAAACACAAATATGCATAATTTATGGTTGTACGTATATGAGTTCTTTCTTTAAATTCAGGTTTGTTGTCTCAAAAACAAATCAAAAAAAAAAAAAAAAAACAAAGTTAAGAAACCAATCCACCACACCACAGACCTGGCTGGGTTCTTGTAAAAGAATAAGGCTCCTTTTCCAAACACTAAGAACCAAGCAGAAGAGATTTGGGAGAATCACACCAGGTAAAGACTCCTCAGACCTTAAGAGGGTAGGAAGCTCTGTTTTCTGGAGAGTCTTCTCTATTATTTTTAGCTAATGACAAAGGTGCTAAACTATTCGAATACTGCACTCCCAGTGCCTTCCAAAAAGTCTGATGCAGACACTGGAGTTGAACCATTTATGAAAGTTTTACTTTTTCTATCCAAAAGATGTAATTCCCTTAAGCAAACGAATGTTCTAGAGCCTGCTCATTTCTGCAAGTCAGCCAGTAGCAGATATAAATGTTACTTTTTGCCTGTAAAACTAACTGTGCTATAAAACAGACATTATCTTACAATAGCTTAACTTAGATTTTAAGTAGTACATGCTATTTAGCTTTCTTTCTTTTCTTTTTAAAGGTTGCTATAAGGGTTAAAAATACTTCGAGTATTTTTGCTACAAATCAAATAAGAGATCACCATATCAGACTGAGTATTTGTCTACCAGATAACAGCAGAAAAGGAAGATACAGAGTCAAGAGATTCCAGTTTGAAACACAAGGAATGCCCCTGTTTGTTCCTAATGCGCACGTCCTGCAATTTTGGTACCAACAATCAAAGCCACATACAGAAGTATCAGAGCACTTCTTATCTCAAAGTTGCTTTATGACTTAATAACAATTTATACCACCTTTTTACATTTAAATTGTCCTTTTTCTTCTCAACATTTCCAACTCTCTCCCTAGAGCCCCCTATCCCTTCTTTAAAGACCCCAACCTTTAGCTTTTGGTGAAAAATGTGATCTGATTTTGAGAGTCACAATAGGAGTTTCGTATATTCCTACGTCAGAACCGTCTGCTTTACCCTGAACTTTGTACAATCTTGGATCTCCCATTGATTAAATTTGATACAGGGTTTTTCTTTTCTATTTCTAGAATGAAAGAAAAAAAATCAATTTCAACCTGGAGAAAACAAACATCTCTCTTTRGTGGTCAGACTTGATTCCTATTTACCTCAAACATTAGGTATAAAATGTCAGTATCATGCCAAAAACTCTTCTCCTCTTCCTTACCCAAACTCTACTGGACATGCTCAGCCAAAGCCTCAGGAGTGTGGAAGGAAAGAACAAACAAAATATCCTACCCTCATACATAAATATACCCCGAATGTAACTCAACATCAAGTACAACCAAATAATGGGACCTAATTGGAACAAGTTACACTTACTCTATGTATGTATAATATTTCAAATGATACTCTGCTGTCACGTAAAAAAAATAATAATAATAATAAAGAATACTCAACAACACTAGGAGGACCCAGGGCTGCCTTTCCTGCCTGCAATCCCCACGTGGGTAACTTCAGACAAGCAGGTTGTTTTCTCTCAGCCTCACATGGCTTATCTCCACATGAACCATCTGGATTAGAAAACCTTTAAAGCAGCTTTTAACATTAAACATTTCTAAATAGGAAATCACAAGTCAGTGTTTATGAAAGCACCTGTCAAGGCAGTCCCAGGGATGAACTTCACCAGAAGGATGGTGCACTAGGGCTGTAAAAGCGTACTCACAAACTCACCAGGACACAAACATTTCTGGATGAGAGGATGGAAGAGAAGACACAGGACCTGTGGTTTTATCAGATTCTTAAACAGCCTAACACTCTATTTAAAAAGTTGAGAACAAGTGAAAGGTAAGACATACAAAAGAATACTCAAACACTTCCCACCCCACCACCACTCCTCCCCCGCAAAAAAAAAAAAAAAATCCCCCAGGAATTTGCAATGAACTAGTCTTATCTCAAGACACGTGTTTAACCACTCAGGGAAAACACAGTAATTTTGATGAGATAAACTGAACTACTAGAACTTTCATCAGTACCCATTATCTTATGATTATACAATAAAACACGAGAAAAGTGACAGGAATTATACAGAAAAGCTGAGATAAAACTAGTTGGGCTTTGAAATGCAATATTTCTATGTCAGACTTATTCTTCAAATTAYGTGTTGCTTAGATAAGTATTACCATTACTTTTCCCTTTTAAACATTTACAGGAACAATAGAAGACAGGCCCAAAAAAGAACAACAGAGGACAAATATGTCTAAGAACCTAAAAGTCAAGTCATGTCTACACTGGCATAGTACCACCTACTGCACAATGCCTGTTTGGGTCCTCTAGATGAAAACCAAAAAGCACAGCTAWGAATAAGTCTGGAGTCAGCCTGCCTTGTTTGTATCCCAGCTAAGATGATAAATCAAAATCACTCACTGGTTATGGGCCTGGGGGAAGACAACCGCTTGGGCCTCAGTTTACCTGTTAAATGTGACAACAGTCCTTAGGGAAGTTTTGAGGCTTAAATAAGTATTACAAATAATGCCTGGCACATGGTAAAAATTCTGGAAAAAAGRGTACACTATTTCTTACCCCATGCTGTAAATCAAGTGAGAATCCATGACATTAATGACAAATAAGATCTCCAGAAAAGTCAACCTAATTTTATCAATAGCTTCAACTGTCACTTCCGAACTGCGTTTTAACAAGAGCAGTTAGTTGTAAAATTAACCAATGTATGTATATATTTCTGTCTCTCTTGAACCTCCCAAATTCACTATTAGAGGAGACAAGTGAGAACAGTGTGGAAGATCCTGGGACAGCACTATCTAGAATTTTCTAAGATGATGAACTATCCTATATACACACTGTCCAATATGGAAGCCACTAGCTTCATGCGGCTGTTGAGCACTTCAAATTTGGGCAGTGCTGAAAAAAAATTTGTTTTAAATTTAATTTTATTTCATTTAAACAAATAGCCAGATGTGGCTATGGRGCTACTTTACTGGACTACATGGCCACAGATGATCCATAAATGAAAAAAGGAACATAAGAAATTTAAGCAAAATCAAGGGTCTTCTTTTCCTGAATTGCTTATATGTTCAATGCAAGTATCTTTGTGTTTAGTGGAAATCGGGTAACTGACTAGTTAAAGAAATAACATGTCAACTCATGCATCAGTACAGTGTAAACTCAGTGCTAATAAAAGGATCAGAGATAAAGAAGTATATGGCCTTCTGATATTTTAGAAGGTCCCTAAGGCCAAGTTAAATTTAAGCTCATGTGAAGTATGATTCAATACATAYACCAGATCTGCAAAGGGCCAGCACCAAAGCACTTGTTTCTATACCACCAAGTGGGAAGCTACCTGGACAATGCACACTGAACATCTCTGAATTTATCTTCAATTGTTTCTCTCAGACATTCACAGTTCTGTAAGGCTTTCCCTCTTTCAGAAACACTAGTATTCTTGGCCTTTCCACTATGCACAAAATCCATGAACCACCCATATCTGAAGTATAACGCCAGACTCCTGCTTAGCTGCCCCTGTAATATGGTTTAATTATGATGACTGAACTAATAGGCTGACATCATAGACTTTTACAGGCTGACCCCATGTCKTCCTGATGTATCATTTTGCACCAGTTCAGTGCTGTAAATCAATTTAAGATCTCGAGCAGGTTGAAAAGGCTGGTAATGATGCTTTCTCTGCCATCTCTGGAGACTCTACATTATACACAACTTACATTATTTATAAAGCCTCAGCGATGCCTCCATTAGCCTTGTAAGACTACACAAATGAGTTCTTTTATACACACACAACTTGGCCTTAATTATGTAGGCTACTGCAGCTTAAATATACTCCTCTAATTACACTCAAGTTTATTCTTTTTCCAATCTACCAAGTTATTAAATTTTACCCTGAACCCAGAATTGCTAAAAATAAAATTACAAACAATTTTAGTTTTTAACTTAAAAAAAAAAAAAAAATATATATATATATATATATATAGTAAATGTAGCTGGAAAAATGAGACTTACTTCCTCTTAATGCTTTAGTCAACTTGGGGGGGGGGGATTTTACTTAAATCCCAAGAGGTGTTAAGAGGTTAACATTTTTAATTTCCTAAAAACTATCATTTCTCTAAAACACAAAGGTCATCAGCTCGGCAAGGAAAGGATAATGCAAAAAGAAAAATGTATTTGATTCCATACCTATGGTTGCAGGGGTCAAAACTAAATCAAGGACAAATCCCTACCCTCAGAAGAAACCCGATCCTGCCTGGATCCTCTGGAGGCTCTAGCATCACCATCTCCAGAAAATCATCTCTCAAGACCCTGGTTACAGTTTCCTAAGAATTGCACTATTACACAAATGGTCCACCACCTGCATAGAAATATCAAATAACTGCAAATGGGGAACGAGGGAGGGAGAGCGGAGGACAAACACTTTAATCAGTACAGCACATTTAGGCCTGGCACCTAGATCAGAGTAAAGCTGATGCAAAAACATTTACACCCATTGAAAATGCTGGGGCAGTGAACACAGGATCTGCCTGGACTTTTTTTTTTTTTTTTTTTTACAGCCGTTCCAATACAGCTCACCTGCCTCCCACACAACGTTAAGTGGTAGTTACAAACAACATGTAATATTAACCTGGGCCAGGCACAGTTTTCTCCTGGTGTTCCTGAGGTGTGGGTACGTTATCCACGACTGGCAATGAGCGCAAAAGATGTTCGTTCTGAAATAAGGGCATTCTGTGATTTAGCCGCTGAGAGCTTCCGCAACAGGAAGACACAAGAGAAATCTGCCAACTTTTGTGTCAGTCCGTACTTTGGGGCGGGGGGGTGGGGTGCAAAGCCAAGGAGAGAGACAAGGCAGGCTGTCAGTACTCACGAAAACGACGCTGGCTCCGCGGGAGATGGTTCTCAGACCCGCCTCGATTCTCAGCGCCTCACTAGTTATCTCGCACCGAGTATTTTTGTTGTTGTTGTTGTTGTTGTTTAAATCGCCTATGCCTCAAAATAAACAAAAGCCTGGGCTACGGCAGTTGTGAGAGCCGGCCGGCATCTGTTCCTGCTGCCTCCCCAAAGCACACCCAGGAAACCTTCTCCCTCCCGGCCCGCACACACATTGAGCAACCAGCAAACAAGCCCACGTCGTCTCTCTCACGCCCACCGCCCCCACCTCCCTCCAGAAACCACCCGAGAAACCCTAACAAAGGCAGGCGCAGAGGGGAGGCACAGTTGTTCCCGGCGACTCGCGCGCACACACGCAGTGAGGCAATCGAATCCGGTAAAGGGAAAGGAATGAGACGACACTCGGAGGCGCAGGGGGTGTAGGCGGAAGAGGGGGAAACTGCGCGCCGCCGCCGCCGCCAAACCTTTGAATAAATCAAGAGGGAATTTCGGTGCGAACTTTCCCTGACCTCGACCCCAGGGCGGCCGGTGGGGCACGGAAGGGAACCCGMGCGGGATGCCCGGGGGCCCGGCGTCCCCCTCCCGGGCGCCCCGCTCGGCCCGGGCTCGGAGAGGGCAGCGCCCGCGGCGGTCCTCCGAGCACGGCGAGGGTCGCCCGGCCGGAGCGGGACACAATGGGCCCGCGGGCCGCGCGCACGGGCCTCGGCCCGGCTGCAGAAACGGAAAGAGAAACAGGGAGAGAGGGAGGGCGGCCGGGAGGTCCCGCCGCGGGCAGGCCGGGGGCGACACTCCCCGCCGCACACCCAACAAAGCGGCGCGGGGAGCCCGGCCCGCGGGGCACGAGGGGAGGGCGAGCGGGCAGGTTCGCACCCGGAGCGGCCGGGAGGCGCCATCATGGGGGGGGTCCGCGGCCCCACGCGGGGAAGCGCCCCTCCCGCGCAGTCCCCCGGCGGGGACCGCGGCGCTGGGCAGCCCCGGCCGCCGAGCGGAGGGCGGGGACGCGCGCAGGGGAAAGTTGGGTTCGGGTCTGTTTCGCTTTACCGGCTTGGCGGCGCGCCCATCCGCGCGGACGCACGAGTGGCCGGGCGAGCGGGGTCCCGCGGCCCCAGTGCGGCCGGCCGGGCGCGGCGCCGCGCTCCGCTCGCAGGGTCCCACCCCGCGCCTCGGCCCGGGCTCAGCCGCTCGGCCTCTCCTTCCTCCGCCCGCTCGCTCCCGGAGCCTGGATTGATCTGGTCGCGCTGGCGTCAGGGAGTCGCGGCCGCCCAGCCTCCACTCCTCGGCTGCCAATACCCGGCGCACTCGCTCGCTCGCCCGCCCGCCCGCTCGTTCACACGCGCACTCGCGCGCGCCGCCGCCGCCGCCGCCGCCGCCGCCGCGCGACCAGGGATCCTCTCCAAATTCCGGCCCAGCTGGCGCGAGCGCGGCGCAGCGCAGCCCCGGCCGGCGGACAGCGCAGGGGAGCGGCGCGAGCCACCGCCCCCCGTCCCCAGCCCCACGCCCAGATCGTTTCCAGGCCAGAGGAAAAGCACACCGGCTTTCTGGCTTTCGCAGCCCTGCCGCTAGTCCCGGTGGGGCAGGCTGGGTGCGCTAGGAGCGAGTCCGGCTCGATGGGCTGTGGGTTTTTTTTTTCTGATACGTTTTTTAACACGTCCACCGCGCGCACGGGTTCGTCGTTAGAACGCGGAGCACATTTTTTCACTCACCTTTTCCTGTCTAGTTTTCATTGCCGCTCAATCACTCCACAAAGATTTGCAGCCCCCAAAGTTGCTTGTGTCCAGAGTTGGATAAAAACTGTTGCAAACCCTGAGTCCACAGATGCATTTCCAACTCAGGATCCAATGATTTGAGTAAGACCCTGTTGCTCCAAATAATGACAGAAGCCACAAGGAGATAGCTCTTTATATTCTAGGTTTTTGGTCCAGTTTTTTAGAATCTTTTAGATAACCCAAACGCCCTCAAAACAAAAACAAACTTAACTTATATATACCTGATTTGCATGGACGTTGAAAACATGTTTTTTCCAAGGATCAACTTTTTTCTTTGCCAGTCTCTGAAAGCTGGAATGGAATCTTGAATAATTACTATAATGGTGAGTTGTGTTTAAAGAAGAATTATTCTGAGGAGTAAATTTCACATGAACCAAAGAATTGTTGCCAGCAACGTTAATTTCAAAAACCATGGTAAATGAATGGTACTCCGATTATTCCTGTACCTCTATGCATCAAGCATCCCACTTAAAATTCTTGCTTATTTTTATATATTTTATATTTAATTATTCAAAGGAAATATAACAAATCCCATAAAACACATAAAATGTGATTTATAGGTTATATATCAGAATTTCTGCTAATTAAATCCTTTCTTTGTTAAACTCTTTGAGCATTTACTGGTCAATTCTTGGATSTCATTTTTTTCCTAAAAGCAACATTTATCAGAGTTGCTCGTTTCTGCTTCTCAGAGCAAAAGCTACAGTTTTAGCCTTGTAAAATGCCACTGAGATCAGGTCACTCTCTTGTTCAGAACCCTCCTTTGATAAATAAAATGAGGTATATCCAGACAAGGGAACATTATTCAGTCATAAAAAGGACCAAAGTACTGACATGTATGCTACTTGGATGACCCTTTAGACATTATGCAAGTCAAAGAAGGTAGACATAAAAGAACAAGTTTTGTTTGTGTCATTTGTATGAAATGTCCAGAGGAGACAAATCTATAGAAATAGAAAGTAATTGGGGGATTGAAGCACCTGGGGGTAGCCAAAGGTTATGGGGTGATGAAATTATTCTAATATCATTTTCCAGTAATAGTTGCACAACTTTGTGGATACACTGAAAGCCATTGAATTTTATACCTTAAATGAGTGCATTATATGGCATGTGAATTTTTTTTCTTTTTTTATTGGTTGTTCAAAACATTACAAAGCTCTTGACATATCATATTTCATACATTAGATTCAAGTGGGTTATGAACTCCCANGAACAACCTGATCTGCAAGATGGAGGCAAGAAGTTGGATTACAGAAAGATATATGAACTGGAGGACTCATTTGATGGAAGCATGGTCCTTGGTGGCACCAAGACCATGTCAATCTTGGAGATCTGGGTCAAATTAGGGATTTATAAAGTGGTCAGGTCAAAAGTGAGTTCATCCAAATGAAACAGTTTATGCTAAACTAATATCAAGAACATCAGGCACATTCCTAGCACCAATGACACTACAGTCAGGTAATAAAGTCCCACATATCATTCTAATAGTTTTGTTTGTTTATACTACACTGGTAAAATATGTAGGACATGAGGTGGACACTAGAGTTACTAGACGGTCATCACAGTGGATGGCTTCACTTAAGTCAAGCTAAATTCATGAATGAACTTTGAGCATAATCTATAATCCAGTCAGAGAAACACAAATCTGCATAATTTCAGTTACTTAAGGTATATAAAATAGTAAAATTCATTTCTTCATTTCTACTGTAATTCATTTCTCTCCTTGTTTTTTTTTTTCCCATTCCCCTCACAACCTCTTATATGTAATTTTGTATAACAATGAGGGTCTCCTTCCATTTCCAATGGCATGTGAATTTTATCTCAGCAAAGCTGTTAAAGGAAAAAAAGGAAGATATAACTAAATGCAGTATATGATCCTTCATTGGACCCTGATGAGAAAAAAAAAGCTATAAAATGGCATTATAAAGCTGCTCATTTTTCTGAACCTATACATGGTCTTTCTTAATGCAGTCCTAGAAGCCTCAAATGATAATTATTAAAATTACACACACTATGAATTTTGATTTCACCCCTTGTGCATGTTATTTCTTTAAATGGTAATAAAAATTTAGATACTCTTTTAAAAATGCATTATTGAGACAGTTATAAGAACATGAATATAGACTATATGTTAATATCATTGCATTAAAATATTTTAAAATCCTTGTTTGGCTCCCCATTTCACTCAGAATAAAAGTTCTCCCAGTGTGTAGAGAACTTACATGATCTTCCTTCCCCAACCTCCTTTACCACTCCAACCTCATCTTCTACTTTCCCTCTTGCTCCCTTTCTCAAGTCACCCTGGCCTCCTCACTCTTCTGGAACATTCCGGGCACACTCTCACTTCAGTTCTCATGTACTAACTGTTCCCTCCCTGGAAGGAGGTCCACATGGCTCCTCTGTCCCTCCCCCATGACTTTCATCTGCATGTCAACAAGGCCACCATCTACAGTTTCTCCTATACACTTTTTATCCTCTCTCCCTATTTGGCTACATGTTTCTTRTAGCAGTACCTGTATTGATTAGCTTTCCATTACTGTAACAAATACCTAAGACAATCAGCTTATAAAGAGAAAAGGTTCATTTTTGCTCAGGGATTCAGAGGTTTCAGTCCATGGTCGGTTGGCCCTATTGTTTTTGGACCTGTTGGAGGCAGCAGGTCATGGCAGGAAGTCTGTGGTGGAGGATACTGCTTGCCCCATGATGGCTGGAAGTGAGGAAGCCAGGGAGGGGAGGGGAGGAGAGAGAGAAAGAGACATGAACATCCCAGGATCCCCTTGAGAGCCCACCCCCAATGACCTAAAACCTCCCAGTAGGCCCCACCTTTTATTAAAGTTTCCTTCACCTCCCATTAGGGCCAGGCTGAGGACCAAGTCATTGAGGTCTTTGGGGCGACATTCTAAATCCAAACTCTAGCATGGCCTAACTGCTTACCTAGAAAGCTAAATTCTTGGCCTGTTGTGTTCACTGCTGTAGCCTCAGTGCCTGAAACTGCCTGGCATCTAACAGAATCTCATTAAACACCTGCCAGATAAATGAGCGAATGAATGAATCAATCAATCAATCACGCCTTGTTAGTCTTGGGGGACATGATGGCAAACAAAACAGATGAAAATCCCCGCCCTCCTCAAGGGAGACATAATAATTACAAATACGTTAGGTGGTGGTACAGGGGATAGAAAAAGCAAGGGAAGAGAGATCTGGAGCAAGGCCAGGGTTGGGAGATGGTGGCTGTCTCCACTGGGACAGGGAARCCCCCTGGCAGGAGGTCCTGCACACAGTAAAGGAGGCCTGGCACACTCTCTGAGGGATGGTTTTCTGACCTCCCAAGCAAAGGACAGAGCCAGTGCAAAGTCCAGGTTACTTCATGTCTTCATGACACATCCAGGTGCCACTGCAGCGTTGCCAGGAGAAGTGAGTGGCTGGCCGGAAGGCTGGGTGTGGGGCCCAGGGGCACACAGGCCACAGAGGCAGCACCCCAGGTGTTCTCTTCTCACTGCTC